CCAGCTCCATCATCTTCTTCAAGTGGAAAGAATCTGTCCCCTCCCTGTGACGGGCTGCCAGCTCACCCCAACTCTTCCTTCATCCCTGGACTCCACTTACTCTTTAAAGCTCAAACCCTTTCTGAGTACTACAGGCATTGCTAAAACATTAAAGAGACTGTGAAGGTATATCAAAGTGTGCTTTTTATAATGTTAATAGAAAGACATTAAGAAAGTTAAGATGACACTTTATTTGTGTTTAATGTCACCACCTTATAAATAGCATACACAAACTGTCCTCACTAACAAGAGCACGTATTAACTCTGAGTCCTTTCAGCAGCTGATAGATCCGAGGATCGACTGGATCCACAGAGGGGATGTTCTGATGGTGTGTTAAGTACAAGTAAGGCCTCTCTGAAGTGGAACCTGGCCGGGCCACTGGCCAAACCAGACAGCAAAGCAGTAGTCAATCTCATCAATCACATATACAACTGGCCTCTCTGTACTGGATTTTTATGCAGGAGTCTTTCCAACTCTCCATCCACCACAGCTTTCTCTAATGATGTTTTCTGTGTTGGTGTGTGGGTCCAACACAAAAAAATAAAGATGGAAATTAAGCGTGAGAATGACCGCCTGGTTGTTTTTCCCCCTGCACTGCGTGTTGCCACTGAGTTTGCATTTACCATAGTGCAAATTGACACACTGACAAATGATCTGGCCTTAACACTCACATGGAAACAGATAGACCATTGTAAAAGGATCCCCACCCAAAAACAGCTGGACCGATGGCCGGGAATCAAAAATCCACTTTGAAACATTTATTGTCCACATTAGCAATATTTACAGGCAGAGAGAAAGAGAGCGGGGAAGAGGATAGTCAGAGGAGATACACGGGGGAGGACCATAACTTGGCCTGCTCACTTAATGGACCATTTTATAGGAGGTCAAGAGATTAGGCTTTTCCTGTGTGTGTTTGTGTGTTGTATCCAACTTTTTATGTATCGGATTCTGCATGGAGATGTCTGCAACTGTGTATGGTTCCTCTGTCTTCTTTCACCTTGCAAACCTGTCTACCACAGGTTGGGTGTATATGTCTGATCAAATGAAAACCAATATGCAGGCTTGTGTGCACACCAACACAAACACACACGCACACACTAATTTTTTATGCAGCTCTGAGTGCTTTAGGAGGAGAATGCCATGGGTAGATGAGGGGTCAGAGTCTGTGATACATCAGCAGCGGTTTCCCAATCCTCTTAGTGCCACAGTGCTCTGGGTCTAACTACTCTCCAGTAGGTAAAAATATACACGTCTTAACCTCACTAATCCCGGAAATGGAGGTTATTCAAATTTGGAAAAGCTCAGATTAGCGATTCATTGAAATACCTGCAATACCTTTTAAATGGAAAAAGAGAATATGCATGCAATTTAAAATCTGTCCACTGTTTTGCTTTGTCTTTCACTGAAAACAACAAGCCAGACTGGGAAGGGATGAGGCTGGGAAGGTGACAGCACTGGTAATGGTGACATAAAGCAGCAGTTGTGCAGTGTGCTGCTGAGTTTAACTTAGCCTTTTAAATAACTGCGATTTTTGTATTGTATTTATGTCCTTTATTTAACATTGTTGTCCAACCATGTTGATTATGCATATACTGCTGGCTGTACAACAAATTGCCCTTTGGGGATAATAAAGCTACCCTTAAAAACTATCTCCAAGGATAAAATAAGCCAAACACACAGGCACTCCTAATTGTGCTTCTACTGTAACATTGACACAAAATCAAGCCTAAAAAGATCATTTGTATAATTCTTTCCTACTTCAAAGGCCTAACAAGAACACACACAAAGAACCAAAATTAATAACCCTGGAGACATTAGTTTGATTATATCTAGTCCATGGGAGACATCTAAGCAAATCCATTATTTAATGTTTCTCTCAGCTCAGCTTTTTTCTCACTGCGAAGGTCAGGTTTTTTATTCTCAGTGTGCGGTTGCCAGACTTTCAAATGATCTGCCTGTTTAATAACAACAGATCAGATTTTTAAAGGAATATATTTATTTTAAGATATAATCAGTAATACTTTACTGGATCTTTCCACCAACACGCCATAACACACAGTATCAGGACGAGCTCGCAGGTGTTGCTGATCAATGTTAAGCTCTTTGCTGTAACAGCAATGCCTGTTAAGATTTTAAGCTTTCAAAGTAGACAGCATTTTTCTGGGAATGCTACAGTGAACTGGGTTTCATTTCTCAAAAAATACAAGACATCAGCATTGTAACAAGGAGGGATATAAGGACTATGAAAAACTTTCTCTGGTTCACTTACCCAAAACCTACTCCCTTCACTTATTTGCACAGGATCCACACAGTGAATGCTAATCACTATTGCTCTTTCATCCAACTTCTGGCCTTGAAACCAACATGCACTAACCACCAGCATCAAGAATCTGATTTGTGATAGTCATGTTGTTATATTACCTACTGATTATGGAGCTCTTGTCCACAATCACCGGGCTAAGTTGGAGCCCTTCATAAACAAATCTAAACGGTATGGCTCAACAATGCTTTACATCTGTAAACTACTCCTTTAGGATTGAACTGCAATTAACATTACAGCCTAAAAGGCACCAAGGGTGTCCAGAAAAGTTTGTAATTTGGAGAGGGATCCAGATGGGCTTGCCAAAATCAATCTGAAAAAGAACTTATTTTGTGAACTGACTCGCCCACCTGGAAGATTCTTATATAATGGCCCTGTCTCCAAACATCTGTTGAGGGCTCTGTAGCAAGGATAAAAAGAGCCAGGGACAAGCGTTTGCTCGAAAAGTAGACAACAAGACAGGTGACAATATGTTGGGGGTTTTATGCCTTTATTTATTAGGGCAGAGGAAGATAGACAGAAAAAGGGGAGACAACGTGCAGCAAAGGGCTACATGGGGCTACCATGTGCCTTGGCTTTTAGCATTTCTGACAGGGATGTGATTTACTTTCATTTTAATAATGTGTAAATTACACTTATCTAACTCAATATCAGACTACAGACAAGGGCAGAGAGAGAGAGAGAGAATATGATATTTTGCTTTAAACAACTAGTCAGTTAAAAACTTAATGAGTCAATGTCAATGAGAAGCTCAAGTTAAATTAACCTAAAAAACCTGAGGAGGTAGACCAATTAAGGATACACTCTCTGATTTTGTTCCATATAGCCCCTCAAAATTTCCGCTCAGTTCAAAGTTGACTTGAACAGTGACGTGGGAAGAAATTAGGAAGCGTGCCTTTAAGCCTGTCAAAGGACTTTTGAGCATGAAATGGTATTCGCCTATTATGGCGGTTGGCAGAGCTTTTCCTTCTGAACAAAACCACTTTGATCTATGAATTAGTTTGGATAGTAACCAGTGTCAGAAGCAGTCAAAGGTAAGTGTGCAAAGTAAGAAATTAAAATTCAGAAATAAACTAGATTTTAAGCAAACTTTTTGCCATGTTTAATGCTTTGGAACAGTTAAACAGATGCAGACTGCAACTGTGTAACACCGCTTCCTTGCAGGTATGCGCACACACGTGGTCAAATATTATTTCTGTGCTTGTGGATGTTTAACTGTCCCGGATATACCTTAGAAAGCCTGCCGCATTATGGAATTTAACACTCTGTGATCCTTTGCTCTTATCTGGCACAAACACAAAGCTCAGCCAAGCTCTGTCACCGGGTCTAGATTCAAGGTAGGCTTTTCAACCGTGTAAATGTCAACAGGACACCCACTCCACTCTGCATAGTTACCATGACGACAGGGCACTTGACAGCTACCATGCACAATGGGATGTTGTGGTCTGACAGAAATGATCTTGAGCTGTCAGTGGCAGACAGGTGGACAGGCTGGCCTCTGAGATATATGTAAGATACAAGATACACGTGAGCAGAGAGGGAAAATAAGTGTACGGATGGGAGAGTAAAGAAAGGAGATGAGGGTAAGTGGATGTGTGCCGATAATGATAAAGAATTGTCATGATATTAGGGTGGAACAAAACACAAAAATACAGAAATGCATTAACAGAGGGAAAGAAGGACAAATACGAAAAATGGTAGACAGGTTTTTTAGGTGCATTAGAGAGAAGATTTAGCAATGGTACCAAAAGGGTAAAAACAGAGGAAATAAAGAGGTAGATTTAGATAAAAGGTGAGAGATGGTTGGTGTGCTATCTGTGGGCATAATTTTCAGGGCAACAAAAGGGCAGGCAGGCAGAGGGGAACCAAATCCTGGTCCGTTTGTCTCCTCAAATGGCCTCTAGGGACTGTGTGAAATGGCCCTTTTCTTCTTGGTCCTTTTCAGCACTAAACCCCATCTACATGACAAACAGTGTCACTTTGAAGCTGCTTGTGTCATCTCTGCCTATCTGTCACTCATTCCTGACCTTTTGCTCCCGCCTCTCATCTTTCTTTTTTTTCTCTTTCTTTCCACAGTAATTCACTTTTTTTTTGTCACCGCCTCCCTTTCACCCTCTATGCTTTTCATTTATCTTTGATATCTGCCTCTGCCCTGAAAACAAGTCTTTGGATCTGAGGAAAATGGAAGGGACGTTTCAGCAGTTACGGCTATGTGTCATATTGTTCGAGGAGTACTAATTACACGAAAGCCCTATCAATTAAGGCTTTAATGTTGTTGATTATATAATTCATTAATTGACAACATTTGACCTGGTTCAGTACAGTGACATTTTTTAATACACAAAACAATTGTTATAGAAATATAGACATAAAACAGCCACCATTAGTTCATGCTGAAATCTTTATTCAGTCTTGATGTTTTCCTAATTTAACGGGCTGAAGTGTTTCCTTGTTTGGACAGGAATTTTAGAAAGCCCCTTGGCATCCAGCAGTGTCTCAGATATTATGAGTGAAATGTGGATGAACCAACAAAAAGTGGCACCCTTAGGCCAATCACTACATTTACTACATGCTGAAACACAGACACATACATTGTGCGTATATATGTTTTTATGTGTACAACAGTGCATGTCATCCTACCTGGTTGAAGAGCTCCAACCTCTCCTTGACCTCAGCCAGCGTAGGGTTCGGGCTGCGAACTTTGACTTCTGGGTTTTGCCTCTGAGCGTGCAGACCATTTCCTACAACTCTGCCACTATAGCTGTGAAAGGAAGAGTCAGATATTTAGAAAAATACTGTGGGATGTTGTCAAATAGATGCAGATCTCCAGTTAGTTAGTGGAAAGACAGGAAGTGGTTGCTTGACAAAACACAAGCAATGTTCTGTTGTTATTTTGCTTGATTCTGATTGTTAAAGTGCATTACTGTATGTATTTGTTATTGTGGGGTTCTTTCTTGTTGATTTTTTATTGTTGTATGTAACAATGTGTGATTATATAACAGTATATCAAGAACCCCAATGGAAAAAGGTCTTGAGCTGTGCTTTAAAAATAAACTGAGATGTCATTTTGTTTCTGTCAAACAAACTACAGAAAAAAAAACAACAAACAGAAACAATCATCATCAATATCAATGTCTGTATTTAGAAGTCTGCCAACTGTACCACAGCACTTCTTCAACATAAACTTTAAAAACCATTAGGGTCTCATTTGTCAAAGAGGAAACACAGAGCCTGTGGCACGGAACTCCTTAAAAGCTCCATTATGCAAAAATGGTTGCTTCAGCATTGAGTCAAATGTGGTCAAAAATTACTTTTATGTTCTACTGTGATTGAAGTTTTATAAATGAAAATATGACTGAGTACAGCCTTGTAAAAATGAAATTGAGAGGCACGGTGAGCTCGACTCTTTAATCCCTGGCATGCTCCGTGGGCTTGCAGTTTGGCAGGGATTATAGCTGTTGATTTTCGATGTTGAGCTGATGTCAGGGAGGCTAACATTTCTAGCAACTGCCTGATGTGGATCGTGGGAGTGTTTTAATTGTGTATAATAGACACAAAAGTTGTTTTGGCAGAAATAGCTCAGTGTCATGACACATCAAAACACAGTTCACGCTCCGGAATGAATTAATTTAACACTTTGTAGTTATAAAGGGTAAAAAATGTTTGAACCATGGAGTGAATTACATTGCGTTTTATTTTTCTTGAATGGACATTTGATGATACAGTGCACCAGGCACCACACTTGTCCCAAAGATTATACACCAACAACCTGTGGGAAATCTGCCAGCACATTTGTATCAGTGATATAATCACTGTATCCTTTCGGTTACTACCTAAAGCCTTAAAGCCCTTAACCTTACATTTTTTGAGGGCCTGATACACAGACTTTCAAAGCTTTGCCTTACATACATACGTAAAGTTTGTTTTTTCCCCCAACAGCCGTTATACGCATCTCCAAATTAATTTCAGAATTATATGTTGATGCTAATCGTCCATGCATGGTGGATTTAACAGCATTGGAGAGGAATGACATGTACTGGCATCAAATCAATGGATGCTTCCACTGGCAGGACAAGGCTGATAAAGTGATTATATATTGTTAAGTGAATGTGTTTATATGGATGGGTTTAAGGGTATGTGGTTGCGCATGCACAAACATTGCACGTGAATATGTGACTATGTGAATATGAGCAGAGGCAATCATAAAAGTGCTGAACTTGAGAATCTTGGGCACATGATCTAAGCAATGTCCCGATAAGGTCTGTGCTCCTTCGTCTTGCTGAAACAGCGCTTTCCAGATCAGGCCCATAAAAATGCAAAAATGTCTTGCTTAACCCTCTGCCACTACACATTACTTTACATCCCCTGCTTGTTTATTTCCTCTTCCTCCTTCAATTGCTTGGTGTACTTCAGTGTATTTGCAAAGTGGATCCCCCCCCCCCAAAAAAAACCCCTCCATCAGCCTCTTACACACACACACACACACACACACACAAACCACTGTCTTCTTTTGACAACAATTGAAGCTCTTAATTGCCAGCGGCTCTGAATCCAAGATGGAAACAATCAATAGCTTTTTGACTTTCAACCCCCCCCCCCCACCCCCCCTGACATAAATCATAAATTGAAGGACCAAACAGCTCCGTGCACAGTGGTTGAAAGCGAGGGCCTATGTGTTAGGGAGCGTATGTGTGTCTGTCTCGAGGCTTGGCTTGGGATAACAGTGTTGGCGCGGAAATGAGCTCATCAGATGGGATGCTAATGAAAGGGAAGTGTCAGGGTGAGTTTGGCAGTGTGCTAGGCCTGGAACATTTTATTGCAGGCTATGTTTGATATTATTTTAGGGGATGTGACAACTGACACAGCAGGACATCCCAGAGCTTATTACCTGATAGACAGACAATGAATGCTGCAAATTTCTGGACGGATCTGGAGCAGACATCAGATGTTATAAGATTCCTGCCAATGGCAATAATGTACTCTTTCAAAATAATTCTCTCTAGCCTCATGTCCCAATGAATTAAAATGTGACTGCGAACATAGAGCAGAAGATTGTACAAGAAAAATAAAAGGGTGCTGCAGGCTTTTATTTTGAATGATATTCCTCTCCTGTTTGGCTAATAAATGAAGAACAGCTTTCTCTAATCAACAGTCCGTGCTCTCCTCTGGTGGTTTCAAACATTTAACAAAAAATCTAAATGACTGCCTACACATGTATGGCTTCTGACTCATGGCTCTGACTTCTTTCTATGGAATTGACTCATATCCCTGTGAATGCCCAATTGATGCACTTTCCTAAAGGCAGCTTTGTCTGTTCTCATCTTTCCCTCCGCCTGGAGCACAGACTAGCAGTGACCTCCACTCCCTGATGCTGACCGCAAACTGAACTGTCTTGATCTTCTGGAGGCCTGCAGGAATGCTCATAGGTTGCAAGGCAGAAAACAGAAATTAAATATTCATCTTTCAAGGTGTACAGGGAGATAACAGAAAAAAAAAAGAATTATGTGCATTTTGAGCGTACATGCTGGTGTGTATGCTGTAAACAAAACTAGAGTATAGCGTGAATAATAACATTTCAAGGATGGGTAAGCATTTGATGAAGGGTTTACAGAAGGGCTGCAGAAGCCAGAGTGAGGGGGTGTCTAGTAAACTGCCCCCAGGTAAAGTAGATTCTGCTTGTCATTCATCTGTTCTGAGTTCTTCACTGATCACCGAGGTCTGGCTGGGAGGTTTAATGAGCCCACAACACGCACCAGGGATTCAATTAGCTGGATTATTTGTGGATATATGTGCACGTCTCTCTTTAACTACAGGTAAGGCGGTGGAACTCATCAGAGCACTCCATGTTGTTCTGGTTGGTCACATTTCCCAAAAAACAAACATAACAAACAACACCAAAACTAGACATTTACTTAACCTTTTCAGTGTAGCTTCTTTTTAACCCTCCCAGAGTACGATGATTACTCAAGACCTACAAGATAACCTATAGACACAATAAAATAAACATACGGCAGGTGGGCCTGTTGGATTGTAATTTGTCTACACTAACTGCTTAATTGCATTCATACCGCAAGCTGTCTGCAGAGATCTTTGCCAGGATCCCAGTGGTTAATGAGATTATCCACTAGTATCTACCAGGGAGGGAAATGGTTGCACATCATCTCTGAGATGATTAAAGGCAGTTTTGTTGATATTTTTGATGCGCTTTCGAAATTTACATCAGGATTATAAAGCACACCGAGGTTACATGCCGTGCTCGAGGCTTGAAATTCTGTGCAAGGAATTTTAAGTTAATACACTGTTCATCTGAATCTTTGCTTCAGTAATTACAATCAATAATGATCGTGTAGCAGCTCAAAAGCAGGACATTTAATGAAATCCTCCGGTTTATTAAATCAATGCTTTGATAAAGTGTAACCACAGGATAACATCACTGACTAGTATAATAAAATCACTCCTGTAGACAATACAATTATTTCCCACTGGCAGCACGTAAACACTGAACTACACAAGTCCCAATGGATCCTTGAAGACCCTGCACGTTACAATGACTTTATGAGGCCAGAGCCCAAAGACAAGGGAGAAAACATACAGTAGTCTTCGCCAGACAGGTCTTGTGAGTCCTACACCAATGTAAAACTGTGCCAAACACATCTCTGTTGTCCAGTGAGATATGCAAATTATCAACTGTATCATATAAATGTACTCACATTGAAGACTGTCTTCTAATAAAAGTCAGAAATCAACTTGAGGCAAAGTCTCTAGCAACATTGAAGTTGATGAAAAACCAGATTGAGAATTAGATGCCAGAAAAACTAAACTACTGCTGTCTGAATATATAAGCCATGAGGCATCTGCTGTCATGCTTCCTTCAAATTTGCACTAGTACTAACTAATTATTCACATGAATAGTTTTTATAATATAATAGTAACTTTATTTTTTAACAATGTAATCTTTTTTTTAAAAAATACACTGCGATACTGAAGGATTTGGATTTGTTTCATTAATTGACCTAAGGCTTCTTCTGCCCAGCCAAAAGATTAGACATGAAACATGTTTGTCATCTTTGGCTGACACATAAACTGATTTGGATGAATGAAACAAACATCAGGCTGAATCAGAGCAAACTGAGGAGGGGAAAAGTGTCAATGAGTTATGATTAAGAGGGGATGGTTGTTTTCATCTGAGTGCGTGTGTGTATTTCCGTGGCTGTGGGTGGTACTATTTCAGCTGAGGAGGGCATTGGATTAGAGCTGGTGGTACTGCTGTCAGGGTAAACAGCAAATTGTTGGTTCATCATGATTAATAAAGCCTCTCCCCACCCTCCCGGCTGTTCTGGGTATACAAGATTGAACATGTGTTGAGTCCTATGATTAATACACATTGGGTAATGCCAGCTGTAGTTTTTAAAGATGTCATGTTTGAGTTTTTTTTTGTTGCTCTTTGTGACTTCTGTGGGAAATTTCTTTTTGTTGTTTTTTTCACATTTTTATTTCCTCTCCTTTTCACTCATACAGCAAACATGTATACACATACACCAAGATAAAGAGATATCACATTTTAGAATCAAAACAAGATAAACTTGCAGAGATGCACTAATATGTTTTTTTTGAAGCCGATAATTTCACATACTTTACTACCCACACTGGTAGATTCCTGTATTTTTCAAACACGCCTTTCTTCAGCTAAGACCAAAACATTTTATTGTCTGTTGCTAATTTTATAGTTTTATTTAGTGGCATAATTCTACATTAGATGAA